TTAGCTTATTAACATATAACTCAGCTTCTGAGATATAACTCAGCTTTTGATTTGTGTAATCGAATCGTCCGATCTACGTTTCTATACTATAAAAGGGGCGATCTACATTGCCCATTTTTGGTAATTTGCCCGACTGTAATAATTCTGAAACACTTAATTCATTTTGTCCGATTTATCCTGACCTATCTAGGCCTAAACTATTTTTGGAAAAAGTAGGGAACGCCTATTTTCACCAAAATAAACGTTCCCCAAATATGATATTTTATATTTTTTTTATAAAACTTTATACTATTTAGCATAGACGATAATTTTGACAATTATTAATCAATGCCGTAATATTTATTAAGAGAAATGATTTATGCACACACATATATGAATATCACTAAAAGAAAACCCGAAAATTTAAATATAAATTATATTTAAATTTTCTGGTTTTCTTTTAGCAACGCTCATATATCCAGCCTACTGAATTTTATAAAATTCAACCATTTTTTAAAAATAAATTTTCTAAATTTTGCAACCTCTAGCCAAATTTTGACATTTAACCTTACTACCTTAAATATTATTCGGAAGTCTTATCTAGCCTATCAAAAAGAATGGCTAATTTGAAAATTTTTAAAATCATAATTTTATTTGTTTTTTCAATTATCTTGATCACATTAGTTGAATCATCACCAGTTAAAAAAAGGTCATGTCCTCAAATAGCATCAATATTTAAAGAAACAAAGAAAAGATATTTAGTCAGGTTATCTTCAAGAGACATACAAGAATCTCATTATCAAATGTTGCAAAATTGTTTTAATAAAGTGATCGAAACAAACAGTGATGATTATCAGAGTATCCAGAGTAATTTAAATATTAACATTAAAGATCGTATTCATAAATATAATGTCGGCAACATTTTTGGTTATATTGGATATTTACTTCCCAGCGTTGCAAAAGAAATTGCTAAATCAAGTGATATTCATACTATAATGGAAGACATTCCTTTTAAAGTAATTGCTGATTCTTGTAGTTACAACACTCAGAAAACAGATGATACCCTTCAAGTATGTAAACCTTATAAAAAGTAATTTTATTATAATTATTATTTATTTAATGTTAATAACTTTATTCTATAGAATTTAGATCGTATTGATCAATTCAACTATCCATTGGATGGAAACTATAACTATCCCAATAGCGCTGGGCAAGATGTAAATTGTTATGTTCTTGACTCGTAAGTTATTGCATTATTTTTGTTAATAATATTATATATTATAGATTATTTATTACTAATTTAAATGTTGAAGAGGTATTAAAGTTGATCATAGTCAATTTAATGGTCGAGCAAAAATTGGTGGCGTTTTCTGCGGTGATTGTACTGTAATTAATGATGACGATGTTGGGTATTTATTACTATATTTGTTACATTAGAATTTTTATAACATATCGATATGGTAAACTAATGTTTTTTATTTTAATAAAGTCATGGAACACATGTTGCAGGAATTGTAAATTTTATTCAAATTTTTAATTTTTATGAATTTATTACATGAGTGTATTAAAAATTAATAATCATTTTAAAAAATTATAATCACTTTAACTTAACAGATTGGTGGTAAGCAAAATAATAATATATAGATTTATTTTTATTAAAAAATGTTTAATGCTTATGCTTAAATTATTTTAGGTGCAACTTTTGGAGTAGCAAAAAAAGTAAACTTGATATCCGTCCGAGTAGTTGACAATAATGGTCAAGGCACTATAGGTGACGTTGTCAAAGGTTTAGAATACGTAGTAGGCCAACATAACCAATCCAGTAATAAAAATACTATAATTAAGTAAATTTATTTAACATAATTTTAATGCATGATTGTAAAAAAGCAAAAAAAGTACTAATAATTATTATTTTATAGCATGTCCCTTAGTTATCCTCAATTTGGAAATCCTTTTTTTCAAACTCTTAATGATTACGTTGATGAAGTAGTAGCGCAAAATATTCATGTAGTTGTTGCTGCTGGAAATACTGATCAAAATGCTCAATTTAACAATACTTTTGATGATGCTTGCCTAACTTCTCCAGGAGCTGCAAAATCTGTCATAACAGTTGGTGCTCTAACTTATCTATCTTATTGGAATGTTATTGCGCCATACTCTAACTATGGCTTGTGCGTCTTTGTTTATGCTCCAGGCATGTAATAAATTAACATTTTGTATAGTAATTTATTTAGAAATAATGATTTGTTACGTTTTATGAAGGTACAGAAGTTCTTTCTGCTGGAATTGATTCTAGCAATGGTGTTGCAACACATAGTGGAACCAGTATGGCTACTCCTCATGGTTTGTAATTCATTATCATCATAGTATTTATTGGTAATTTTTTGCATAAAGATAATTACATTTTATTAATTAGTTTCGGGAGTGATTGCTTTGATAATCTCCCAACGTGGAAATATGGCTCCTGCTGACATGAAGAATTATATCTATAGTATAGGCTCACAAAATTTAATATATCTTAATCCTGTATATTCAAATTTAATTCTGCGTGCTCCCCCTCGGGATTCTAGCTGTAACTAATTTTGTTATTGCAATCTTGATAAGTCAACTCAATTAGTTATTAAATTATTTTATAATTAATTATAAATTTTAGATGTAACAAAGTTATAAAACCATTAAATTATCAAATACAATGTGATATCTATTTTTATTTATTATTACTGTACCAATTTGTAATACTTTACACTTTTTCGATTTTACCATAAAATTAGCATTATTATGAAAGTCTATATCCATATAATTATAAATTATGTTTTTTAAGACCATATACTATACAATTTAGATATATAAAAAATACCTAAATAAAGTTTATTAGTTTTATATGTTTAATAATTATTTTATATAACTCTAGATCTCGGCCTAGTTTTACCCAAACCTTTCACATTTTTTTATATTTATTGTTATTATATATATATATATATATTTATTTATTTATTTACAGAAAATATCAATACCGTAAAAAGTTATATAAAAGATCCCCCATATATCAGTCCACACTTTTTTTTTTTTTTACTAATTAATTTTTTGGTGGAATGTAAGAGACCCGGGTCCTTTTACAGTAATTATCAAATCATATGTCTCGTAAAAAATCCAGTAAACACTAAAAGAGACAAATATTTCGCACATTCAGATAAGAGACTAACTAAAAGCTAAAAAGAAGTTTCATAGTGCGATCTAACGTGCATTTCGCATACGTAAAGTACGTACTGTACATAATGATAATATTGTATTGTATATTCATAAAGTAGATTTGCGACACTGTCGCACTAAAAACTAGGAATGTAGGCAACGATATTTATAATTATATATACTAGTTCTTTCAGCATATAACAATGCTTTTGATTAGATTTGGCAATACGACTCAATCTGGAAAATTCTTCATTTATTTTGTTACAAAAAATAAAGCATCACATTATGATTTCACCAATTGACTTAGGTGTTATCAAGCATCTTGCTCAATGGATTGGAGGTAAATTTTTAATTAGTCAGAAATTGAAGAAATTAACCAAGTGAGTTACCATTTTGATAAACAAATCAGTGAGATACAAACCATCTTTTTTCTTCAAAAATTTACCATTGATAAGGTCGCTCAAGTATTACTTTTAATTTTTTACATATCAAAAATAATAACCAACAAATTTCTAACTGATATGAAAAAATAGTCACTTTATTTTTAATTCTCGAAGCTTTTAAAACAAATAATTGATACTTTGATCTTAGCATAATAAACACAACCCATCTTTAAACCTTTAATCAAACCGTAATGAATATTGCTATTAATTTTTCGTACAATAAAATTAAAATATTTAATATTAATATTCGCAAGAAAGAAATTTTTATTTTTTGTTGCTGTAATGCAACTTTCGCTAATTCTTCCATATATAGATTCTGTTGCTGTTGCAACAAAAGATTTAAATTGATAAAATCATTAAAGGAGAAACCGACGCAATCGAAGTTAAAGTTTCGGCAGGCGGTTGAGTAGAAATTTTTTTAAAGTATTTAGGTGGCATAATGTAGATTTGAAAAACAAAAGGTATGCTCAAACATTTAATTCTACAAATATGTCATTGACTGAGATGCTTGAGCGTCATCATGATCATTATTTAATTGATTGATTGAGATGCTTGAGAATATCCTTAGTTGTAAAGCCTGTAGAGCAATTTAGAAAATATATAGATCGCTAAATCAGCATGAATAAATTGAATCTAAATGAAAAAATTTAATTAAGAATTACATATATGGGTAGTTTGCCAACCCACACCAACTAATAATTAGATATAACCAGTTTAATTAAATATGAAATTATAATTTTACTCTTTTTTCAATAAAATAAAACTCAACACATTAATTTGAATAGAACTAAATAAAAGTTACTAGTCTTAGATTTTTAATAATTTATTTTATAAATCAATTCATCTATTCCATTAAAAACTAAAAAAAGAAACAAAATTTTTCGTAAATCTAGATAAAAGACCAAAAAAAACAAGATTTATAGTACGTACTCCCTAAAATATGTGCACGTGATTACGAGATGGTATAGCCAAAGTTATATATAGTAATAAATTTTCAAACGTTTGAATTTTTAGAAACGATTAACAGTTAAATTTTTTCGTATCGCCGTTTGCGTAGCAAAGTAAACATATCATTCTTTCGTAAATAAACTAGTCGTAGTTAGCGCAGGATATTGATAAGTAATTGTTAATCAAATTCTAATTTCCTACTATGAAACCAACTAACCAAATAAAAATTAATTAAATGATCTATGTTACAAACAAACAATCAAAATTCAGAACTTGTTAACAGACAAGTTAATTAACAAGGAGTTTACTAATTTCTCACTTCTGATTGGTTCTACTAATTATTACATATCGGAGTATCCGTATTATTACAATTGATTAGCAAGTAATCGCAATGGTACTCAAACAAATTTCTATTTACATAAAATTTTTATTGAGAATTCGAATATACAATTTATGACGTAATTGAAATTTTCTCAAGCATCACCTTCGATGTGATTAATTAGTGATCGTAATGGTGCTCATTTATTAGAATCAATTGAAATAAACATTGCAGTCAATATTTGAGCGGTTCTTTTACTATTCGTCAAAAATAAAAAAAAAAATAAAAATAAAAAATGAAAAATAAAAAGACAAAAACACTGTTAAACAAGAGGCAAATGCTGCAGATTATCGAAAATATTCTGACGAAGCACCAACTTCAGCAGTCCCTTACCAATTATTGATCATAAAACCGTTTAGTGCAAGAAGTAAAATAATAATTTTACTTGTGCGGTCTCTTTGAAAACTCAATTGATTGTAGAATTTTCAAGACAGGTATAAAAAAAAGGTAAAAAGTTTGTTGACATTCATTTCAATATTTTTTATTAATAAAAATATCATATTTACTTAATAAGTTTTATTAATGATAAGCACGCTTGACTAATTTAAAATATTTTCCGCTAAATAAATTTTATTTCCCGACACTTTTTGACCCATTGATTAAGGCGTTTGAGAACACCCTATATCAAATCAAAACCAAGATTATGTGTACGAACTCTAAACTCAAATTGAACCATCCACTTCGTTTCACTACGTTCTCGGTAAAATAAGTCAGCCAATTACAGTAAATTTCTAAATAGGTTCGGTAATCTGAATATTTTGGTCAATAAATTTATTTGATTATGGTTTAATCAGCTCGGAAAATCGACCATCGATTGTGGCTGTGTTTAGTTTCAGGCAGTAATTATTAATGAATTAATGCTCTAACAAGAATGGTAATTTTAGTCGTAACTGGTCCAATATCGGTATGGATGTAGACAGTGTTGGTGATTTCTTGCGGCCAAAAATTTTTTTGGCCTTTGGCCGGCCAAAATAGGCAACGATCAATGGCCAGTATCCAAAATTCGAATTTATTTTTTAAAAGTACAATATCATGTGATACATGCAAATAGGGCCTTTTCTAATTTCATATTGATAATAATTTCTGACATAACGGTAACAATTATTTCATCATTATGTTCGGAACTGTAATTTTAGACTTATTTTTATGCAAGATTTATAAAAGTTTTGGCAAAAATTATTCACATGATCAAAATTACATATAATTTTGATTTCTGAAACTTTCGCAAATTCACGTAAAATTACGTAAAATTACAGTAATTTGCCAACCCTACAATTATTATCATTTCCATTAGGGGATGGCTAAAGTCATGTACCCACGTGATTTTGACCTTTTAATCATTTTAATTAAAATTAAGGTTAGGATTAGAGTTAGTTTGGTGTTGATATAAGAAGAGGGGTATAGGTAAAATTGCTTTCCCGACATTTTTAATTAGTGTCTTTTTGCGTTTTCTTTATTTTTTGACTTCTTCGGGCTGATCCGTGTAAACAAAATTTCGTAATTCCGATTGGCCGATTTACACAAAAAGTCACGTGGGTATGTTGTAAGTGGAAACGGAATTTAAGTGGATTCAGAATTTATATAAAACCACCGTTTGGGGTTGATTTTATCATATGTACACCCTAACCTTAACCCTAATTTAACTAGGAAATTCCAAATCCACTTAAATCCCATTCCCACTTACAACAGGTACATGGCCCCTTAGCCGATTTTTGATAAATTGCTCTAATATCGTTTCTATCGTTAATTAATAGTAGATTACATATGAGCAAATCAGTATCAATCATTATGAAGTTGCACTTGACTGAAATTAGCCCCTGAAATTAGATCATCCTGCACGCATTAGCTAGCTGTTTTAGGCAAGTGCCAGGCACACTTGTTAGAGATAGATTCTTGGCAAATTCTACTAAACAAAATACGGTTGTCGAATTTTTCGGAAAGGAATATAAGTCTAATAAACTTATTTTTATCGGGTAGGAACATTACTTTTTCTTCTCATCTTTTTTTTCTTTTAATAAATATTTCGTCTTATTTTATTTTATTTTTTTTTTAGAATAGATTTATTAACTAGTATTTTTCTTTTTAAGAATGAAAATCATTCATGTTTGTAGGATTCGATAAAATGTAAATCGGTTTGAATAATGACTAACTCAAACCAACCCGTAGATCATGAGATTGCACCAATCAAAGAAATAAATTTTGACTAACTCTTTTTACCGTAAAAGTCTCATTTACCCTTCATGGAAATAAATTTAACCAATTTTATTGGAGAATTTAAAGTAATTTTAAGTAAATCTACTTGAATATAAAACGCATAGTTATTTTATTTGACTTTTTTATAAAAAGGCAATGACCAAAGTCAATTACGAAATAAAATACTATTGCTAAATATCATACACCAAAGAAATAATGCTCAAAAAATCTCTTTTTGCATTAATTTTATTAATGATATTTTCGGTTACCAATTCTGTACCATTTGAGAAAAGATTCTCTGTAATTGGTTCATGTCCAAATGATCCTCCTGTCGAAATATCACTTACTCCTGATCCACCCAATCCTAACCAAGAATTTTTTATCGGTGTTTCTCAAACCGTATCCACATCTATTTCAGATGGATTTGTTCCAATTCAGTCATCTGATGGTAGGGATGGAAAATTACCGTAATTTTACGTTATTTTACGAAATTTTGTGTAATCTTCTGAAAATCAAAATTACATGT